TCCCAGCACTTGGGAGGCAGAGCCAGGAGGATCTCTGTGAGTTCGAGGCCAGCCTGGTCTACCAAGTGAGTTCCAGGAAAGGCGCAAAGCTACATGGAGAAACCCTGTCTCGAAAAATCAAAAAAAGAAAAAAAAAAAAAAAAGAAAGAAAGAAAGAAAGAAAGAAAGAAAAAGAAAAAAAGATGACCAGTTGGATCTGATACTTTCCATAGTGGTTAAGCTCCAGAGGCCCACAGGCTATCTAAGTTCACTTTATTAGCTCCCCTTGTTTGTGTGCTAGGGGCCTCTGCTGGCCACACTTAGTCTCGCAGTCTAAAACTGAACACTACATGCCTGCTTTTACAAATAACAGTTTTGAATATCTTGTTATACCAACACAAACACATGAAGATAAAGGAAGTATTTCATCAGCTCTAAGTTACAATCAATTGTAAGACAATTCCAATTTCAGAGATATTAAAATAGGAAAAGAACTAAAAAACAGCTATTTTTTCCCTTTCCATCATTTCTAACACGGTTATATTCGAATATTTCCTTTGTCTCCCACCGTCAGAGCAGACTCTGGCTCTAAATACCACAGTATTAATGACATAAAAGGCCAAGTACAGTACGTGCTCCCAGCAGCCCGTCAGTCACTTCCTAAGGACAGGAAATCAAGTACCTGCAATGAACAACAACCGGCTCTTCCTTCCCAGCCCTCTTCTTCCGGACGTGACAAACGAAGTCCAGAAAGTCACTGGAGTCGTCAGGTACTCCGTGGTCAGGCCAGGCTGTGTACTGGATCTGAGTGAGTTGACGACTCTCATTTTTCTAAATGAAAATGAAAAGGTACACATTTTGACATAAGAATTCCATGCCATTTTACTTTTAGAAGGAAAACAAAAACCACCTTCCTTTTCCCTCTTGCCATAGTGTATAAACTCACTAAAATCCAATATTTCAAAGAAATAGTTGTATCCTTTTGAGGACTAGTAATTTATATATATATAAAGAACAATATATATATATTGTTCTTCAAGACAGGGTTTCTCTGTGTAATAGCCTGGCTGTCCTGGAACTCGCTTTGTATACCAGGCTGCCCTCGAACTCACAAAAGATCCACCTGCCTCTGCCTCCTGAGTGCTCGCCACCACCGCCTGTCATATTACTACACTTTTCTAACTCAGCTTCTGTATCTATAAAGAATTTTGAACACGGCAGTCAAATCAACAGGCAGAAATAAATTCAGGTCAGAGAACTACTTAAAGGGTTACCTAAAGAGATTCCAGGTGAGCAAAGACGGGAAAGTAAAAACCTTTGTGTGAGTATGAATTAAAAAAATGAGATAATCTTTACGTGAGACAAGTGCAATTATCAAGACTAGAGGGGGAAGTCCCAGGAGAGTAAAATGGCTCAGCAGTTAAGATGCTTGTGGCCAAGAATGGCAAGCTAAGTCCAAACCCTGGGACTCCTGTGGTGGAAAAGATTCCAGATGCTAAAAGTTGTCTGCCCTCCCCGGGTGCATCACGACAAAAGCACAAGCACTTGCACACACACGTGTGATACATTTTTAAATAAAAACTCCCAATACACATAGATTAGAAATGAGATGTAATAAAAACACCAAGTTGAGAAAGGATTAATTCTACTTGGTGAGGGAGGAAGCAATGGTAGATGGAACTAATTAAGAACCTTGGCTCAAATCTCGACTCTGCCAGTTACAGCATTTAAGATTTCAGAGCTTCCTTCATTCATGTGAAAAATGACATGACATCTACTGCTCCACAGGACCATCTTTAGGTTGACAAGGCTTTATGAAAAGACTAAATACAATCGAACTATTTATTTGAGCTAAGTATTCGAACACTTTCAAACATGTAACTATCATTCAGCATACTTCAATCTGGGGGTGCCATTTCCATTCAAGGGAGAACACGGAAGTAAAAGTTAATCAAGACTTGGGAGTAGTACCTACCTGTCTGTTGTCTAGCAATGTATGTGCATTTATACTTGTAGAAAATCTCTTTTGTCGATTATATTTGGCTCAAATTTTAAAATTAATTTATCTTTGCAAGTTCTAAGGTACTCAGCATATACAAATAAAAATGCCATGGCTAATTATAGATAGACTCTAAAAAAAGGCCATTGAAGATAGAAATCATTACACACACACACACACACACACACACACACACACACACACACACACACCTCCCTCTCTCCCTCCCTCTTGGTTAAGGTGAAAATGAAGAACTATCTTAATGGTTCAGCCTACATACGGATCACACATGATGCCACCAAACACGTAACTGACTCTTATTTGAATGGACTGTCACTTTCCCCCTAACTTTGGCTTCCCTCAGTGTCAGCTTCCTGCTTCCTTCCTTCTATTGTGAGACAGGCTCTACCTCACTTGTCACCATCACACCCTTGGAGGAGAGGTGCTTCCCACGTTCAAGGGCTTAACTGCTGATGGAAAAGGCAGGGCCGTCACGGCTTGTGCTGCAGTTATTCTGTCTTTTGGCCCTTTAGAATGACAGGCAGTGTTGCTGGGTTGTGGTGGTGCAAACATTTAACTCCAGCACTTGGGAGGAGAGGCAGCCAGTTTCTGGCCAGCCAGGTCTATGTAGTAATACCCTGTTCCAAAAACAAAGTGACACAAAATGATGGGCAGCTGTCAGGGAAAGAAGGAATTACGGGCAGTGAATCTGAGGCAGACCATCTCTAGAGCCTGCCAGGACTACCAGCATGATGTCCTTCCCATACATATTCCAACCAGGGGGCCAAGCCGGGACTCGTCAATCAGGGTCTGCTTTTGGCACTGGAAGCCAAGAGGAATGACCGTGGCAGAACTAAGAAGAGCTGGCGGTCAGAAAGCTGCAATGGGTTCACTGTCAAAGGCCCTGCCTGCGACCTCTTCTTCCCACATCACCCAGACTATCGTGATGTCGCTCTGCTCTACCACTGGGAAAAGTGAAAACAACTTGACATCTTTCAATGGCTTTACCTATTGCCCCAGACAAATCCAAATACTTTCCTAATACTGACTGCACTACATATTTTTTTTTTTTTTTGGTTTTTTTGAGACAGGGTTTCTCTGTGTAGCTTTGCCCCTTTCCTGCAACTCACTTTGTAGACCAGGCTGGCCTCGAACTCACAGAGATCCGCCTGGCTCTGCCTCCCGAGTGCTGGGATTAAAGGCGTGCGCCACCACCGCCCAGCTTACATATTTTTTTTTTTTTAAGATTTATCTAATTTATTAAACAGTATTCTTTCTGCAAGTTTGCCTGTACGTCAGAAGAGGGAATCAGCTCTCATTACAGACAGTTGTGAGCCACCATGTGATTGTTGGGAATTGAACTCATGACCTCTGGAAGCGCAGTCAGTGCTCTTAACCTCTGAGCCATCTCTCCAGCCTCATGCACTAAAATTTTTTTATAAGCAAATGTTATGAATACGCAAACTAGTAACAGTAATAATAATATTTGCCAAAATCCCAATTAACTGATTATCACATTTACCACTAGAAGTGGAAAATACATTTATGATAATACAGAAGAGTAATATTTGTATAATTCCAAATTACCCCATTAAAGCAAACAGATGATACTTACTTTATGTGTGTATGTATCTATGTGAATGTGTGAAGAATCATTCCTTTAGAGTAGGGTCTCTCCCTGAACCTGGCCCTTTATGATGGAACCCAGAAAGCCCATGGGTCCTTCTGTCTGATTTCTCAGAGCTGGGGTTACCGGCACTTGCAGTTATGCCCAGCTTGTGATGTCAGCGCTGGAATCTGAACTCTGGTCCTGAAGACTGTGCAGCAAGTGTTCTTACTGCTGGACCGTTTTTCTAACCAACAGTTGAGTAATTCTTGTTTCCTGGTATCTATTACTCAAGCTAAAAACTTTTGGTTTTCAAAATCTTTATATCAGTTCTTCTGAACAGACACTCTTGACTTCTTACCTCTTGGTTAAACAGTGTCATCTTCCTGAAGATATAGGCAGGATTTCCTTCCTCAGAGTGGCAGGTGACTTGATAGCATCCATAGGATGAGCTTCCTGTGGGTTCTGGCCAATACTGGTGACATTTAACCTGATTATCAACAGGATTGAATACCCAAAAATACATTTTTAGGTGTAGGAATTTAAATTCTCCAACTTTCCAAGTATTTAAATTTTTAAGAACTTCCAAATTTACAGAAAATACACCTTTCACTTAGATCTTCCAACTACTAATGTTTTAATGTGTGCGTTTGATATTGTATGAATGTGTGTGCACATATATGAGTGTGCATGTACACACATGTAGCACAGTTGTCAATGTTGGGTGTCCTCCATCACTCTGTAACTTTTCTGGAGAAAGGGTCTGTCACTGTACTTGGAGTGCATCCAATTTGGCTAGATGAGCTGGTTGGACAATGAGCTCAGGGATCTGTCTTTGCCCTGCCCCTCCAGCTCTAGGGCTACAAATACACCTATCGTACCTAACTGTTCCATGGGGGCCGGAGATCTGAACTCAGGTCCCCATGCTTGCATGGCAGGCAGTTTACAGACTTAGCCATCTTGCCCAGTCATTATTCACATTTCTACAATCCTGTTTGGCTTTATTCTGATAGAGTTTTACCACAGGTGTGTGGGCACATGTGTGGTCTGTACTACATAATCCCAGCCTGATTATTATATAGCTCACCCATTTAAAGTGCAATTGCTTTTAGTGCACTTCAAAGAACTGTGCAACCATTACGCTCACCACTTTTAGAACATTTTCACTATACCCTAAACTACCCCCATACTTATTAGTAGTTGCTGTGCACTCTATTCCATTCCATCCTTTCTCAAACATGGACTTAGGCATCTACTAATCTACTTTTTATACTTATGGAACAGCCAATCCTGGATGTTTCATAAAAGTAGAATCATACAATAATTTTTGTTGTTAGAACTTTTCACTTAGTATAATGTTCTCCAGGCTCACCCAAATTCTAGTAACAATACTTCAGTTATTTCTATTACCAAATAGTCTTCAGTAATTTGAACATATTACATTTGATTTAGAGTATGTGAATCTCCATTTCATGGCTAATGTTGGGAAGGCATGGACGTATCTTCAATTCCTTGAGTATATGTAGTACTGAAATTGATGACTTACAGAAATACCATGTCTCACTTTTCCAGTCTGTAAGCAGAGCAGTGCTGCATTTTCTACACTCTCTCACCAACACTTGTCATTATCTGGCTCCCTTTAATTCTAATCAGTGTACTGTATATAAAGTAGCGTCTCGCTGTGATTTCGATTTACATTTACCTTTTGATATCCAATTATCTTCTTACGTGCTTAACAGATATTAGTGTATCATCTTAGGCAACTGTCTATTTAGATCCTTTAACACGTTTTTAAATGATCTTGTCATTTAACTGTTAAACTGTAAGGAATCTTTACATATTCCATAAACAGGCCTCTTGGATATACATGATTTTAAACAAATACAATGATAAGAAATGTAACATTTATATCACAAGTATGGTGTTAGGCGCAGTCTGAAGTATTTAGCTATAATAATTCAAATCATGGAACCATAAGAGAAGAGTAAAGGCTACAAAAGAGTATTCTGAGTCCATAAACACAATGTAATTTGAAAAGAGCCCAAGTAATGGGTCAGATTCAACTACAGCTTACTCTGCCACGTTCAACTTGTGTGGTCAACATCACAACCATGGAGGAGCCTTGTTCCCAAGTCATTTGCCAAAAATCTTTACAAGTGTGCGGTAATGGCCCTTGACAAGCAATGTACTGGTTTATAATACTTGAAGAAGGAATTTCCATCTAAAAAGAAAAAGATATTAAAATTTTTGCATTTTGACTTTTCCTATGATTGGGAAGATGAGAACCATCCATTAATGTTAAACTGAACATAACTTATTTCAATAAACTGATTAATACAATAATCCTCATTAATAATTTCATCTGTAAAAGAAATTTCCTGGCAATGTCCAAAGTCATACATATTCATCATTCAATTGTTGGAAAGAGTAATATAAAAACACATTTTTTTCCAAAACACTACTTTTTATTGGAGACAAAGTCTCACAATGTAGCCCAGAATCCCAGATATTATAGGAATGTATGACCATATCTGGCACCACTGTGGCTTAAAGGATAGTTTCACAGAGAAACTTGTTTTAGAGGCAGAGGGTCTGCAAAGAATTTTTTAAAAAGTATCTATAAATAGTTTATTGGTAAATTTCCTAAGGAAAAAATAATGCATTTTAGCTGAATTATATTCATAAAACAATGTGAAGAGCTATTAGAATAATGTTTAAAATTATTTATAGAATGAAATAAGACAAAAAATATTGGAGAATCACAATTGAACTACATTTGAGGTTGATTTTAACAAGGTGATATCTACACATAGCAATTCAGAGAATACCAAACGTTGTATACTTGAAGTCTCCCTCTCAAACCACCTTCCAGTTATTATCAGAGGGTAATTTGTTTTTCTAGTTTCTAGTACCTCTTTCACATAGACAGACTGTACACAACAACTATTTTCCTATTTTTCTGTAAAACTTTTTTTAAAATGATAGCACAGTATATATGGTCCTATTGTTTGAAAGATAATGCCAAAATTAGTACCTAAATTTCTTTCTTTTAACAGCCCTTTTAAAAAAAAGCCTGTAATTTATTTAAAAGACATTTAAGGCATAATTTAAGACATAAAAAAACATTAATAATGTTTGTTAGCAGTAGCAAGGTTAAACTGAATACTTCTCTAATCTTGACATTTTTAGCAAATGTGAAAATAGGCCTATCTATAAGGGCAACAGAAAGAAATGAGAATACTGGATCAAAAGGTATGCAGATTTCTGATTCTGACAATACCATACTGCTCTTCAGAGCATTTTTACCAACCTACACTTCAACCAAAAACACTCAGGAATGTATTTCCATTGATATTTGCTAATATTAATATATCTATAATCCTTTATCTATAGTTCTTTTTTTTTTTTTTTTTT